TGCCACTGCTTCTGCTACTGCTGCTGCTACTCCTGCTGCTACGACCACCACCACCACCATGACCACCACCAACTACTACTACTACGACGACGACTACTACTACTACTGCTACTGCTACTGCTACTGCTACTGCTACTGCTGACTACCAGCCACTACCTCTGCCTACGACTACCGACTAGCCATTCTTACTGGTCAACTTGTTGATACCAGCTACTCGCTACAAGTACGTGCTGCCTGCTGACCACTGCTTACTACCTACCCTACCCAGCTTGCTGACTGCCTGCTGCCTGTTACCTGCTACCTACTCCCTGTTGCCCACTGTCTACTCCCTACCACGTACTCCCTATTGCACTGCCTGCTACCTACTACTTACTATCTAGAACCTGCCACCTGCCACCTACCACCTGCAACCTTCACCTGCTGCCAGCTTCCGACGACCTACTACCTTCTGCTACTAACTCGATACCCACCATCTACTCCCTACCATCCCTACGGGGTGTTTTCAATGCTGCTGTTGCTGCTGCGGCTGCTTCGGCTGTTGCTGCTGCTGTCGCTGCTGCAACTTGCCACGTCGTGGAAGAATCGTCGATGCTGTTACACAATAAACTTGCGGTCCTAAAGCCATCAGTCAATCGCTCCCCCAAATACCGAAAGAAGCCACAATCGTTTCAAACCTGCGTATCAGCTTCGGGCCGGCCGGCCACCGCATTGCCTCCACGGGGGGATCTCGGGCTGGGAAATCAGGTGGTGCCACTGTACCCCCTGTATTGAAATTCCTACCACCACCACTGGTAAACTAGGACGACCAAAGCCACTATCACTACCAGTCCTACTCCCACTCATGCCCCTACTGCTACAGCTGTTGCTACGCTGCTGCTTCCAGCTTGTGGCTTCTCGCTTTCACCGACAACATTCTTAGCTCTACAAAAACACTACTGTCTTCACCGCCGCTTTCAGCATTCATTTTCCAGAACATGGCCTCCAGATTTCTGCAGCCACTCGGTCATAAATCTGCTTCGCGCGCGGCTGCTTCGTGGGAAACTGATGCCCCTCCTGGCAAGGCCGGCTCGCGTAGCCACTACAGGTTAGTCAAAGCTTGCGGGCCTGGTGGCATTATTTTGGGGTCACTTGGGTCACGTACAGCAAATCAAAAATTCGTGAACAAACATCCCCATTCTTCCTGCAGCGCATAGATACTCTGGCTTTGAGGCCCCGCAGTCCAAAGCCGTCCTCATGTGTGAGGATGACAGGGTCAACGTAGTACTCCTGGCACAAGGTTTCCCCAAAAAGAGGATGAGGGTTTATGAGGTGCCCTGCTCCCCACACCCCCTGGAGATGAGCCTCCTGTGGCTTATAGCCGAAGCCGTCGCGGCCGTAATCGTAGAACTCATCCTCCTTGCCGAAAACGTGAACCTCACGTCGGCACAGGATTCGATATCTGACATGTGTGGTTCGGAATGAAGCACAGTGCTTCGGTTTCTGAATGTGGCCTGCGGATGCAGAGCTCAAGTATAGAAGCCTGGGCTCATAAGTTACTTTTTAGACATCATCGTAGCACAGCGGGCAAAGATGAACAGAATAACGGCCAAGTTCACAAACACGGTAGCAATGTACTCGCGTACATATACATGCACATGTGTTTGTTCCGATGCTTTTGCAGCTGTTAGGTGCAGGTACATGGATAGACACGCACAACAAAAACACTGATCGAAATGATGTGCATGTACATATGTCGCCATGAAAACAAAATGCCCTGGTCACGACCACCGCCGCCACCAAAGCGCACAACACCGGCTGATTCGCTGGCTCGCCTCGATCCCTCGCACGACACATGCGCGGCTGCACAACACCTGATACCCAAATCTCAGCGCACATCCTGGCCATAGTGTACGACAGCCCGAACCAGAATCCTATAAATTTGATTGGGTGATAACATTGACGGTCGTACTGCACTGCTGGTGGGTGCTGGCGGTGCTGGCGGTGCTGGCGGGGCTTACGGTGCTGGTTTTGTCATAGAAACAGGGTGGATGATCGTAACTGCGACAGCCCGATTTCGAACAAGGTTCTTCGTTCTTCTAGTCAGAGACCGAACGTCAAGCAACGTGTCAGATAAACAGCCTTCCGAAAAAGCAACCTCGGTTCCAGAATGCCAAATCGGAGGCGCTATTCCTGCAGCCGCTCGGTTGGTGTTGCACAAGGTGGCGTAGCAGCCTATCACAGTGCGGCTAGGAGGCCGTCGGATGCGGCAGTGGTGTCTCAAAGAGGTGCATAAACTCCTTCGCAAAGTGCAGAAGCGCATCAAAAACTGCGTCTACAGACTGAGATTCTTACAGGCCCCGTAGCACAGCACGAGCCCAGACATTGAAGAAGAACGAACCAATGACGGAAAACGATGCTGGGTGCAGAATTTTGCCGAGATGAAAGGGTTTTGTGGGTTGCGGAAGCGCAGCTTGCAAAATCATGGGCCTGTAACGTAGCAGTCCTTAGAGCAGTGTGCCTGGCAACATGCTATCCCAAACTGCCTTCAGACCTACCTCTACGACTTGGACTGAGAAATTCCCACCCTAAACCCCGAACCTTAAACCCCACCGTAAACCTCATGGAGCCTAGGCTCAGGGTGTGGAATCCCTGCTTGGAACTGGGAGCGCCTGTCTTTTGAGCGTCGTCTTTGGGGGTTGTGCGAGTTGGGGCTTAAGTCCAGGATTTTGGTGAGATTACGGCATGGTGTTCAATTTGCCCGGCTCCCGAGTATCTAGCCAAGTCTGACAGCAAGTCCCGCTCCAAGATCGACCCCGAAACCCATGCCCTGTGCCCCAAACCTTGTCGCGGATGTGCATGCCACAGAAAAAGACCTCAGAGCTGCACAGGCCACGCAGGCCTAAACCCATCAAGAGCTCAGCTCGGAGTTTCCAGGGGCCTCTGGGAAGGGATGCCCTCGAGCTTCGGCTTCCGGATTTGGGACCATTCGGGGCCAAGGAGCGCTGAGTCTCCACGGCATCTGCTCCGTGCCATTGCGCGTGTGATGCCAGCGCATGGAAGCCTGCTGAACTGGGGGTCTACCGTTTGGTTTAGACCAGTTGAGGCCTTAACGCCACCTGCTCTGGCATACCCCCAATCTTCTGCCTTAAGCGCCGAGGGCTTGTGGTTCAGGCCTTTTCGGCTGGCGGCTCCTTCCGCAAGTGCCCTGCAAGGAGGTGCGTCATGATGCAGCCCTGCCCGCGAGGGGGGGGTCACATGGGACTTGGGGCAACTCACTGCTCTGAGTTTTTATTTGTGAACATTTCTTGGTAGAGCAGCATTTCCTGTATTGCTGATGACCGTGCTGCTGATGATGAAAATGATGCTGATGATGATGATGAGGAGGAGGAAGCAGAGGACAGGAGGATTGTGATGATACTGACGGCCGCTATGCTCTTGACTACATGATCATGAAGATGACGACCGCGATGACAATAATGGTGTAAGCTGGTGCTGATGGCGGGCACGAGGATGGAAATGATGATGACGACGACGACGACGAGGAGGAGGAGGAGGAGAAGGAGGAGGAGACTGAGAATGAGAGGATGACAATGAGAATGGAATGGGAAAGATCATGAGACTGACGATGATCATGATGGTAAGAACGATACAGATGATGAAGATGATGAGAGATAGTGATCGCGATGACGGGCGACGACGATGATGATGATGACGCTGATGATGACGATGATGACGATTTATGACGATGATGATGACGACGATGATGATGATGGTGATGATGGTGATGATGGGGATGATGATGATGATGCTGTTGATGATATTTATCATCAAATACTGATGTTGCTGACGATGCTGACGAAAATCCTCACAATGAAGAAGAAGACGACGATGATGATGATGATGCTGACGATGATGATGATGATGGCGATGATGATGGCGTTGGTGATGGTGACGGTCATGCCTGCAGTGTCGCTGGGAGCAAGATGAAAGAGCCGAAGATGATGATCATCACCAACAACAACATCACCATCATCATCATCATCATTATCATCATCATCATACGAACGGCTTTGATCCTGGTCATGGCCATGAGCATGACCATGCTGATGACCATGCAAGTGATAGCAATAATGACCCTAACACTAAAAAATGCAACAACAGCGTAAAGATGTTGACGACTGGTAATAATCACTACTGCTACAACACAATCCACTTCTCTGGGGATCTGCAATGTTCACAGCCTGCGAGAACGCCACCAGGACGTCCCAGGGCCCATCTTCATAGATCTGCTCCTTCAGGCGCGCCACCTTCTCCGGAATCTTGTGGTACCTGAGAAGAGCTGCGTATTTTGTACCTATCTATCTATATCTAGTGTAGTACAGTATAGTATAGTATAGCA